CTTTATTTTGTACATCAGGAAAAGGGGCTGGGGAAGGGTAAGTGGAAGGAGGTGAGGGAGGAATGGGGTACACGCCCCCGATGGGGACTACTGGGCTGGCTCTGCGGGCTTTTGGGGTAGAACCTCTCTTGCAGCCCCCTGATTTCCCCCTCTCCCCAGATGGCAGCCTGCGGCAAGTGCAGCCGGTCTGATGGCCGAGTGCTGTGATGTGCCCAGTGTGGGTACTCCGGGCACTCCAAGCCAGGACTGCTTTGCAAGCGGGACACCCCTGAGAACTGTCTGTCCGGGATGGGGGTCGGGACCCTTTAAGCACAGCTCTCGGCTAGCCTGAGACAGCATCTCCACGCTCTAAGTCCTCCTCTGATGCCCTGCCGGCACTGCTTCCGGCCATCCTTAAGCCCGGTTCAGGGTCCACTTAATGTGGACATGCTAGTTCGAATTAGCAAAACGCTAATTCGAACTAGTTTTTTAGTCTGTATCCGTTAGTTCGAATTAATTAATTCGAACTAAGTTAGTTCGACTTAACGTTGTAGTGTAGACGTACCCTTACTTTCTACTGATTCTGTATATGCTCTTCATATATCTGTATAATGTCTGTGTGTGGAGTTATGAATATGTACTCTGTTTTAATACTGGAAGCTTCTCTATCTGTTTCTGATCAATGGGCGAGGATGGCTCAGCCTATGGACATGCTAATTAGCAAGGCACCAGGAACAATAGATCTCTGAAGTACCAGAGACCCACCTCGGTAGGAATCTAGGTGCCTGGCCAGAGACCATGTGACTTTCTCCAGCTTGGAAGGAGCCAGGGGGGATATAAATAGGCCATGTGGCAGACTCCATTTTGGTGCTCAGCTCAGCTCTTAATCCCAGAGGCAGCAGTGCAGGGATCAATGAGCCGGCAAGAACTGTGGACCCATCCTGACATAGTATGTAAACCAAGAACTTTTAAGCCAGCAGTTATAACATCTCTGCTGCAAGCCTGCATCGAGAACTGGAAGATTCGATTCATGTAATGTATGGGTACGTCTACACTAGCCCCCTAGTTCGAACTAGGGAGACTAATGAGGGTGACCAAAATTGCTAATGAAGTGCGGGATTTAAATATCCTGCGCTTGATTAGCATATTCCCGGCCGGTCGCCAGTTTGGAAACTGACTAGCCCGAAGTAACTGTCCACGTCTACACACGGCAGAGAAGAGGGATTCTGAGATAAACCCCTTAGTTTGAATTAGCACACCTCCTCCCACTTCTTCTCCCCCACCTGCTTCTTCCTCCACACCCTCCCCACACATTCATAGACATGCTAGTCACAGAGTACTCATGTAAACACATCCTGATAACAAGTGGTAACAGAGTGGATCTTGTCAATGGATAGTTCTTTCAAGGTCTTCTGTGCCAGCTGTCTGTGCAGGGTGAGGTGGCACACAGAGGGAACACACACACACAGAGCCAAATATCTATCAAGATACAATCACACCATGTGTCAGAATTATACATGAGAGATGTTAGGATCACTGCAGATCATCAATTTGGTGGAGAGACAAATTGTTTCAGATATATAGTAGGTAGCTGCCCCTTTCTCCATCCCTGCCACCTGCTGCCCCAATAGGGTTATAGATATCCAGGTCCCCATCTCTGACCTTTGCTACTCTCGTATGGTCATTATATAGTATAAATGTCTCTGCAAGGAGAACCCTTTCTTTTTATGTTATAAGAAACAGTCACATTCCAGGCACATTTCATTGTCCTGACACAAGCAAACCCTTACTTTACCTTAGTTTATGATAAAAGGAAGTTGAATACCAAATTTGGTGGTTGTATCTCTTATTGTTAGATCTTGAACAAACAGAAGGACAGATGGACAAATTCACTGACTCATCTGCTCACAAACAAACTCCCTTAAAGCAAATTCTGTGGTAATGTTATCTGCTTGCAAAACTACATTTATCAAAACATTGATGACAGTCACTGTATTATAGATAAAATTAGAACAGGAGAGAAATAGGTTAAGTGACTAATAATTCATTTATTCTACTTCTGAAAACAAACAATAGATTCAACAACTTTTAATTGACAACTATGGTGCACTGAATACCTCTTGAATGCTTCTCACAGATTCTATTATGAAAGTATTTTCTAGTCTAAACAAATGACTAGTTTTCAGAAACCTGATAGGTTTTAAAAAAGAAAAGAATTGAGGTATTTTAGTGAGGAAGGTTTCTCTAGGTTAGATAAGCCATGACTTGTTCTTGTTAAAGATACAAAGAATAAGTCAGATCATTTTATAATATGCATGTAGATATCACAAAATTTGAAGATTATTAACCTATTATTTTGCTAATATGCTGTAATAACAGAACTATTTTGCTGACATTATGAAGTAGGGGGTTCCCATTCCAGAAATTGAATGGGTTTGCATCCGAAGCATGTTCTTCATGGCACCTTAGCTTTGACATGTAAGTCTAATTAAATTACCACTTCACTTGCCAGAACTTCTGCTTAATACATTTTTATTTCAATATAGTCCAATTGCTCACAGTGTCACATCTAGTGTTCTCTCATTATTAACTGGTGAAAAATGAAACCAAAATGGTTTGACAATGTTACTATCTTTTTAACACCCAAAGAAGGCCCAAAGGATCAAATACAATTTTGGAGTCAGTTGGATTAGTGCAATTTGTTACAAATTTAAGGACATTTCACCAGCCATTTCTGGTGGGTCATAGACTAGAGATGAGCACAACAGGAGATTTTATGTTCATCAGATGATGTTCACTGTGTCTCCAAAACTGAAATCTAGAAACAAGAACGTGTAATTTACTTTTGTTATTGAACAGTGTGGCCCAGATGGACAAAAAGGAATCAGTACACAGAGAGAAGATGTGCAAAATAATTTGATATTAGCATTTGAAGAGGAAAAAATGAAAACACACAGGTGTGTGTGTAATATGGGTAGCAAAGAACAGGACATATGGAAATTGTGTCAGTGGAAGTTTGTGGAGATGTCTGTGATTTATAAAGGAGACTTCCTAATGGAAGTCGATGTAAGAAACCCATTGAAATGGCAACCAGCAGGGACAAAAATATTCATGCATAAAATTACAAATTTAGGAAAGGCCAAACAAATCCCAAAACACTATCAGTGCA